CGGCCATGACTCCTCCCAGGGGGCGGGTCCTCCGGGGCGGCCATGACTCCCCCAAGGGGGCGGGTCCTCCGGGGCGGCCATGACTCCTCCCGGGGGCGGGTCCTCCGGGGCGGCCATGACTCCTCCCGGGGGCGTGTCCTCCGGGGCGGCCATGACTCCCCCAAGGGGGCGGGTCCCCCGGGGCGGCCATGACTCCTCCCGGGGGGCGTGTCCTCCAGGACGGGCATGACTCCTCCCGGGGGGCGTGTCCTCCGGGGCGGCCATGACTCCCCCCGGGGGCGTGTCCTCCGGGGCGGCCATGACTCCTCCCGGGGGCGTGTCCTCCGGGGCGGCCATGACTCCCCCCGGGGGCGTGTCCCCCGGGGCGGCCATGACTCCTCCCGGTGACGCGCGGCCGCCCGCAGTGTTCGTGCAGAACAAGGCGCCCCCGGAGGCCTTCTGCCCGCGGCGCCTGCGGCAGATGCACCTGGTGCTCGACCGGCTCATGGCGCACTCGCACCTCAAGTACAAGGGTGCGCCCGGACGCCGGGGCCCCTTTCACCCGGACACTGGGGCCCTTTAACCCGGACACCGGGGCCCCTTTCACCCGGACACCGGGGCCCTTTCCCGGACACTGGGACCCTTTAACCCGGACGCCGGGGCCCCTTTCACCCGGACACCGGGGCCCTTTCCTGGACACTGGGACCCTTTAACCCGGACGCCGGGGCCCCTTTCACCCGGACACCTGGGCCCCTTTCTGGACGCCAGGGCCCTTTCCCGGACGCCTGGGCCCCTTTCCCGGACGCCTGGGCTCCTTTAACCCGGACGCCGGGGCCTCTTCCCGGACGCCTGGGCCCCTTCCCAGATGCTGGGGCCCCTTCCTGGATGCCAGGGCCCCTTTCCCGGACACTGGGCCCCTTTCCCGGACGCCGGGGCCCCTCCCGGACACCTGGGCCCCTTTCCCGGACACTGGGCCCCTTTTCCCGGACGCCTGGGCCCCTTTCCCGGACGCCGGGGCCCCTTTCCCGGACGCCGGGGCCCCTTCCCGGACACCGGGGCCCCTCCCGGACGCCGGGGCCCCTCCCGGACGCCTGGGCCCGCAGGGTCGCTCTCCATGCTGGACTGCGGCCTCTTCCCCGGCCTCCCCGCCGACTTCCTGGAGGCCGAGGTCAACCTGTTCCTGCTGCCGCTCATGGAGGCCGAGGGCGACGACGCCCCGCCCCGC